AACAGCGTAACGCGCGAATTTGAATTATGACAGAAATGCGCGCCATCTCGTATCTAGCATCTAAAATACCAAAGCCTGAATTGAATTTGGAGGCTCGCTTTCGATAGCGAGCCTCCAAATAGCGTCGCAGATTTTTACCATTTGACTGGACGTCTATTCGTAGTATTTAAGTCTATGGTAATATGTAGAATTAGCCCCTTTTTTAGTGCGTTAAAAGGACGAATGTCATGAGAAAGAAGAAAATCAGTTTGTTTTATTTGTGTTTTGGGACGGAACCTCATTCTTTGCTTATTGATTTACTGAAAATCAAATCAATAGACACTTTCAGTTAGACAAAATACGTTAACGCTAACGTAAGATTTTTCAGCTGCGCATGCGCAGTTTCTTTTCACCAAAAATAGCGTGTTACGTGTCACGTTATTTAGCGGGTCTTTGCGTGTACCTTATCCGTAAACGTTCGTTAAACCGAGTGGACCCGAAAGCCAGATTGCCGGTGTCGATTTTTGCCGAACGATTTTATTAGACATAACAATGTATGATGACATGTATTGTATTGTGTGCTTTATGTATACATACACTGTGCAATTTATAGTTGTATATGAATATTATATTATGTACTCTATGTTTTGTAAATTAGCCGTACATGCTAAATAAAGACCTAATAATAATAATAGACCTAATAATAATAATAATAACCTTGAAAAAAAGGTGTCATGTAATTCAAAATAATCAAAATACAAAAAATAATTTCTAATTTGTCCTTTCCAGAACAAAATTTAGAGGTTAGGTCATGATTGTGAGATATAACGTTAACGTTTACGTGAAAATTTAACTTAAACTGATTTGTGAGCACCGACGGTCACTCAACGCTATAGTTAAAAATAGGGTTTACGTTTAAAGATTACGTTAACGTGTTTGGTCCAACTTAATTAAAGTGTCTATTAATCAGGTCTCTTCCAACACAGCAAGAAACTGTACAATGCACCGTCACGATTCCGCGCAAAGCGTAAAATTTGTGCGTAGAAACCAAAATTCGTTCACTGAGTGGTTTCGGAACCGTTCATGGGACGGTTTTTGACGTGTTGGAATAGGTCTGTTCCAACACGTCAAAAACCGATTTACCTACAATTTTTATTTCGTGTTGTTTGGTTCATGTGGAAAATGCATTTGGAAAAATCAAGATGTTCACCTATAAATCATACTCCAAAAGAAATGCTCATTGAATTTGTAAGGCAGAATGAGAAACTTCAAAGTGGAAAATTTACCTCCGATTTAACCACAGTTTTTATTGATAAAGTTCTAGTTGAAGCCCGTATAAAAGGTGTCGTTAACTCAATTAAATTTCGAAAAAGATCTTTGCCTAATCAAAAGAGTTTTACAAATTTATTATCCGTTAAATCAAAGGGATTTTCTCTTCTGTAAAATCTGCTTATATGCCTTTCTTCTTCTTCTGCATCTAGTAGATCATTCAGTAAACTCTGTCTAACCAAAGTTGAATCTTGAAGGTCACTTACTCGAATATATCACAGACATGATTCTTGCTGCTGTCTTTATTGCACGCGCACTGTGTTTATCAAACCAAAAAAGGTCCGAACGTGTGAATCCTATGGTTACAAAGATGAGTAAGTGACCTTTAACGTTCAACTTTGGTTAGACAGAGTTTACAAGAATTCTTCCTAATTTCATGGTTTCCTACGTTTTCGTATTGGACAGTATTTTCCACTTGAACACAATATCCAAATGCACCTTGGCAATTACTGATAATAAATAAATGATTTGCAAAAGAAACAAAAAAATACCATGGATGATAGCCTGCACAATTGACCAAATAAAGCGCATATTGGACGTTTGGCTCTCCCGAGAACAGACGTTCTCTTCAAAAAAAGTAGTAGAATAAAATTCTCTCAACTTTCATAGGAAGTGAACGGTCCCTAATTTCGAGAATACGTCGTAATAGATTTTAATAGAAACCTAGCGTACTTTTCCTATGAGAACAGAGATCACACGATTCGAGAATCGCCGTCCTGGGGGGGTGAGGTGTGAAAGCGGCTAGGAGTAGGGATTCAAATGATTCCGCTAACTCCGCCCCCATTTTACTATCGAATACTTGGCAACTCTGAAAATGAAACCAGAATCAGTGCTACAAAAGTGTATCTTTATCCTTATATTTTACATAATTTTAGAAAAAGATGCGGATACACTCACTGCACACTGATTGACAAATGGAAATTGTCATAAAATACCTGCTCGTCGCATTTTGACATGACAATTGAATAGAAGCCGCTGATTGGTGGAAAGGTAGAATTCGAGGTGGGATTTATTTTTTTGCAGCGTTGCTAATTTTCATTGAAAAATAATCGCTTTCCACGTGTTAGAGAAAGATACAAAATAAAACAAGGATTAATAAGTAGTGGGGAGAGATGCGGTTCCTGACATGTAGTCAACCAATATTATTGTTTATTGTTCCGTCTATCTGTGTTAATAGGTCATTGGGTACAGCCAAAATGGCCGAAGCTACTGAGAAACTGATATACGCATCCCGTCCTCTTTTTTAGTGTGTCATTTGATGGTGTAGTCAGATCTTGGCCAACCATTTTGGTTTGCGAGGTACAGGGTGTTTTTCAAAATCAGCTGTTTTTTATAATCCTCCATAACTTCTTACCCTAGGAAGATATAGAAAAAGTGTAAATGGGAAAAATCCGTCTTTTTTTACGTAGAATCCAGTGGCGTACTTAGAAAAAAATATGGGGGCTCTATCTTCCGTGATATTCGAAAAAACAAAGATTTTTCAAATAGAACACCCTGTATCTTATTGGTTCAGTTGTTTGGGAAAAAAATTGCGAGTTCAACGATATAAAACACATGATATTTTGTTTTGGCCTAAATGGCGAAAGTGACAAAAAACACTTTTTTTCCGCTATACCTATACAAAAATAAATTTAGATAAATACTTTACGCACTAGTGCGTCAAGTATTTCCAATTTACGCACTAGTGCGTGAAGTAATTTACCAGAAAAATGTCAAATTGACAGTGTCGACAACTGTCATTGACATACATTACGCACTAGTGTGTGAAGTGAATTACTTTAAAATCTTTGTTTTTTCGAATATCTCAGAAGATAAAGCCCCCATATTTTTTCTAAGTACGCCACTCGCGAGGCCACTGGATTCTACGTGAAAAAAGACGTATTTTTCCCATTTGCACTTTTTCTATATCTCCCTAGGGTAAGAAGTTATAGAGGATTATAAAAAACAGCTGATTTTGAAAAACACCCTGTACCTCGCAAACCAAACTTGTTGGCCAAGATCTGACCACACCATCAAATGACACACTAAAAAAGAGTACAGGAGGACGCGTATATCAGTTCTCAGTAGCTTCGGCCATTTTGGCTGTACCCTATAACACTATCGAAAATCAACCACCCAGTACATAAAAAAAAAAATTGAAATTTGACCATTTTGGAAGGAAAACAACCTCTTCCTTCGGACTTTGAATTTTTGAAAACTTTGAAAAACCATAACTTTTTTTCAATTATGGATAGAAAGCTGAAATTTTCAGTGATTCTTATCGCTGTAGAGGACCACAATCCCTGAAAATTTTCCGCTCGTTTGAACTTATAGCTCCAGAAATAAAATTATGTTAAGCAATTTGGGGTGATTTATCAATTTTTCAATTTTTCTGAGTGGCTTTTCCATGGAATCTGACTTCAAATCTCAGAATAATTTAGTGCATGGAGTTTGGGGGGTCCCAAAGGACCATTAGGATCGAGATTAGGATACAAAAGCTCAATAACAAAAAAAATTTGAAATTTCATCATTTTAGTAAGAAGGTAAGCTACCTTATGATTTAGATTTTGGAAAACTTTGAAGGTCATAACTTTTTTCTATTAAAGATAGAAAGCTGAAATTTTCATCGATTCTTATCCCAGTAGAGGACTACAATTCCTGAAAATGTCAGCTCATTTGGACTTATAGTTTCTGAAATGAAATTGTGTTAAGCAATTTGGGGTAAATTATCAACTTTTCAATTTTTCTGAGTGCTTTTTATCATAGATTTTGGCTTCAAATCTCAGAATAATGTAGTGTATGGAGTTTGGGGGACCTCATTGACCATTTAGACACAAAATCTTAACATCATAAAAAAATTGAAATTTCAAGATTTTAGCCTCGATTTTAGCACTAAGGTATAGTCTGGCAAGTGGTAACTTGGTAGAGATGAAAGGGGGAAGAAAAGTGGGGCGTAACCTAAAAATATTCACTGACACCTCAACTGACACCACCTGATGACAGCCATGTCTTTTGGTTCAGTGGCACCGAAAACACCAAAGAAATAAACCAATAAAATTATAAGAAAAAAAATTCTTTAGTTTCGCCAATAACTACGCCACTGCGTGCTGTCACTGCTGTCGTTCAGCCTCTAACCAATAGAATTCATACCTCTGAATAATCACGCCTCTCAACATCCATCATTTCGCAATGTTGTCGGATTTTTTTCTATTTCAAAAACCCACACATGACATGCCCATATAGCAAAAAAAATATGTCACCAACTTGTTTATTATTTTTTTCGTCAAGTTTGGCAAAATAGCAAATTCTTTTGCAGTTCGCCGTTTCGCTAGCCAGACAATACCTTATGTTTTGGATTTTTGCAAACTTGAAAATTCATAAGCTAAAATTTTTAGCGATTTGTATACTTGTAGAGGACTACAAACACTGAAAATTTCAGCTCATTTGGACCAAGTTTACACACTAGTATAGTAAATACTTTATTTCTGTATACAGTTGAAAGATTTAAAAAAAATAGTCTCCAGATTATGATTGAAACCAAAAAAATAGTGCATTGAAAAAGTTCACTTTCCACACTGACTAGTTTGGGTTAATTTGGATTAGGGAAATTCAAGTTTTAGGGAAAATTTAAGTTCAAATTTCTGGTATTATTAAAAGTAGTCTTGACTGGTTTATTACTGAAACAAAATCAGTCAAATTAAATTTAGGCCTACCTTGAGAATTTGTCCTTTCCTGAAACTGAGCTCGTCCTCGGCTGTGGCATTGAATTCGTGTTTCGCCGTGGCTTCCATTATTCAATTATCCAGTCCCTTTTCAGCCACAAAAATACCAAAAATTTCCAGTCGCCCCCAGGCAAAATGATTCACTCTGGTGGTACAGAGGCAAAACGTCAAAAAATCAGGTACAAACCTTTACGGCCTTTTCTCCCTTCAATGGGATTTTTAACGTTCTATTACGTCGTACTTGGGAAAATGCATCGCGTGCCGAAAATTTCACAATTTTCTACGATTTCGGGGGGCAAAAATAACTGATGAAACTTAACACTAGTTTTATCTTCTTGTTGGATAAAATTTTTCTGAAATGTTTTGACGGAAACGCCCGAAATGGCATTAGTTTGACACTTTTGACAGCCGACCGATTGCGTTTGTTAAATAATGGAAACTGTACATGCCCTACATTTGATAAGCTTTTTCAAAATTAAAAACCGAAAAAATATTAATAATATGCAAAATATCTACAAAAATAATTGCTAATTGATTAACAATAAACTTACCCTATTTAATTTTAGTAAAATTTTACATTCTTTAAGTTTATTTTAGGAACTAGTTTGTATTGCGGAGTAAGCAATGTGGCGCCATCTATTGAAAGTAACTTGGACTATAAATAGATGATTATTTTTTTTGTAATTACTTTGTTAATAATTAATTCAAATAACAAATCCTTATAACATATTAATCAAATAATACATAAACAATTTATTTACGTCACACATTACTATAATTAAAAATCCCAACCTGCCCTAACCAGTCGTATGTGCGCAAGTTCAAAAACCAGACAAATATCCCCATGCGATATGTTTATTTCGAAAACTTGCTGTTACATACAACATCAAAGTTCATTTTTGTTTTATATTTATCAAATGGTAAGTTGGTTTATTGTTTAGACAAATATTAGGTTTGATTTGATTTTTAAATTTAAAAAAATACTGCTGTTTTTGAACCATCTTTAGTGCCATGTTGCCAAATGTTATGAAAGCGGTACCAGATGACCATCATCATAACCCATGAATAAATTTTAATTTATTTTGTTTTGATCGGTGGCTTTTATTTATCAAAAACACAAAATCTCTTTGTTTAAATTACAAATCAATTGAAATCTTCATGGGTACAAAAAAAATATTGAAGGCTTTCAACCTTCGACGATTTACATAATTGCAATGACAAAGATTAAAGGTCATTATCAATATGGTACTCGATAAACAAAACCGATTACTTCCTTTTATGTAAAGTAGCTCGTTCTATTTACGCATAAATAACTTTCTAAATATTTGATTTACGATAAAGATCAATAAAATGGGATTGTAATGTAATTGGGTCGAAAATGATAAAATCTTAAACATTTGGCAACTATGTCGATAAGGTATGTTCACAGTGAAATAGAATACCAATATACCAAATGATTATGATTGGTTGTTGGAACCTTTCTGTTGAAACAAACTCGGATATAGTCTATTTGAATTTGCTAAGAAGTTTTAAATTATGTAAATACCATCGTACACTTTTTGAAAAAAATGCTTAAATTATACATACATTCTGGAAGATGTTTTAGGGGAAATCAGAATATTGGCTTTCCTAAAACTAAACTTTTCACATGAAATTCTTAGGACTCCTAAAACCAAACTGAACTTAAGAGAAGCATAAAAGTCTGATTTCTGACCATTTTAGAGTTGAAGTTAACTTCTATTGAAAAAGTATGAAAATAGAATTTTCAACGTTTTTAGAATTTAAATTAGAACTTCTGACCATTTGTGACCACAGGTCACTCTTCAAAATCCCATAAGGAAATAATTATAGTGTGCGTCAAGCATATACAGGGTGACAATTTCGAAAGTAGCAATCAGAATATCTCTTTAGACAAAAAATACTATCAGCAAGATCTCAAATACGTATTGGGGAATTAGAGGGGGCATCAAAATGAGACCCTCCTTTGAAAGGTTTTTTATTCCTCTTTAAAGGCGTGACCATTTCATTCCAGCTACAATATAGAACATGATCACTTGACTCTTCATCTGGAAAACACAAAAACAGTTTTGCCTGGTAAAGTTGAAGAGCATTCTGCTATTCTATTAAAGCCCCATTAGGCTGAATTCACTTGAAACCACGTTGTGCAGCTGACACCCAACAGCAAATCATAATTCAATCATTTCTCGCTGGTATTCAGTAGTGCCCCACTGCTACACTTACCTTTAATAGTATAATCGTGTAACAAATGAGATCCTAACCTATTATGGTGGACGGCTTCCCTAGGGGACACCAATTACCAAAAAGAAATAATGAAACCATGATTTGTTGCCCTGGATATCAGTGAAACGCAACTCCAATTGTTATTAAGAGAAAGTTATTGAAAACATCTACAGCCAAATGCTTAAAGTCTAATACCAAACATGTTCAACTATGGTTTATTTTTTTCCAAAATAGATTTTGGCATTGTCAACTTTAAAACATAAACAATGTCGCTAAGGCCGCTTATTGGTCGCTATTGTAAAACTGATGTCAACCTGCAGAAACACCTCATTTTGCGACCAATCAGGGTCAAGCGTTACTGTTTATGTTTCAAAGTTTTCAATGTCAAAATCTATCTTGGGAAAAAATAAAGTGTAGATATGTAGCTTACCCAATAATTCTGATTTGAATGGCAGTTAGGATCATAGCTTAGGTAATTATTTTTTTTTAAAAAAAGCTTAGTCCTCTACAATAGTCTACTGTCGAATGAGGAATATAAAAATAGATAAGAAAAGAAAGATACAGCTTAGTCAATTAAAGGCAATTAACCAGTCGGTTATATTGACAGATGAATAATGCATTTAACGTCATTTATTACCGATTGGTTGACAAATGACGTTTGCTTCATTGGTTATCTGTCATTTATGACCAATTGGTTAATCGCGTTTAATCGATGCTTGTTTACATTACCCTGGTTATTTTTTTTTTTTACTTCAGTGAAATGATTCATCGAGTAAGTATATGATAATTATTGAGATATATGATAAATCCTTCGATATTTACTTGCTGAAATGCACAAAACGCCAATTTCAGATTATTTCAAAAAATGTGATGGAAAACCTTTTGAGAATGATCATTATTCGAGTGGCAAAAATTGCCAAAACTATATATATACAGTGCAAAACAACTATAATTTTTTTTTATGTAGGTACCCACTGTATACTGATTATGCATCAGATAATATGTACTGGTATTACTTATGTAGATATACAGGGTGTATATTTTAGGTGATACCGCTATTGCTATATCCGAAGGGGTAAGAGCTACAAGGTTTGTTAAAATAGAAAATAGTTGCCTTTTTTGATGCTTATTTAAGACTCGTTTACAGTGTTGCCAAATTCCTTTTAGTTTATGAAATACAGGTTCATAACTAGGGCCGAATTAAGATAAAATTTAGGTAAAAATCACTGATTAGAGCAGAAACGTCGGCCAATCATACTTAAGAGGTATATCGTTCAAAAGGGAATAAAGGGCGCTTTCTAAAAATGACATAAAAAATTCAGGTCCGTATTTAAAAAAATGAAGTTGATGATAGTAGCTCGATCACGAAACGTCAGATTTAAAATTTGAAGATGCCACGTTGTAGAGAGAAAGAAATTGTAAAACTTTCAAATGCAAATTGTGTCTCGAAACTCAATAGTTTCCGAAATAATTGATGAAATATTTTTAGGCGATTCTCAGAAATCACCCTGTATTTCCTAAACTAAAAGGAATTTGGCAACACTGTAAACGAGTCTTAAATGGGCATCAAAAATGGCAACTTTTTTCTAATTTAACCGACCCTGTAGCACTTACCGTATCGGATATAGCAATAGTGGTATCACTTAAAATATACACCCTGTATATAACTTTTCAATCGATCCATACTGACTAAATATACATACGTCCAATTCAACGACGTCAAATGGACACTTCATAGACGGCTTAATACAGGGTATTTTTTCTGAATGGGTTTTACATGGTAACTTTTGAACCTGTTGGTTCATGTCATGGTCAAATAAACGTCCACTACGTGACGTCCCAAACAAGTCATATTTTGCAACCTCTTTATTCCGACATCGAATTTTAGTTAGTCGACATAAATCTATTTAAAATCGACGTCATAACGACTAACCTTTGTTGCTTGGGATGTTTGTTGGAATAGGAAAAAAGACCTTTCGCAGATCTGTTTTTGTATTAAAATTGTATTCGCTAACATCCAATGTTCTCTATCTTAGGCCCGGTTTATTCATTTTGAGATAAACTTGCTGGTTGCTATCTGCAAGATAAAGGAATAACAATATATCATGACGCAATCAGTGAAGCTGGAGATGCGAGTAGGGACTAATTCTGATTTTTGATCATTCTACGATTGAAATTTGACATGAAGAGGATTGAAATTTGACAATGAAGAGCATGAAAATTCTATTTTCGACTCTCCTAAAGCCGAAATTGAACTACAGAAGTTATAAAAGTCTAATTTCTGAGCATTTGACAGTCAATTTGAAGTCAGAAGAGTGTTTAAAAAAGCTTCAACACAGCTGAAATTCTATTCAAAACGTCTGAAAATTCTATTTGCAACGTATTTTCTGCTTTAGAAGAATCGACTTTGAATTTTTCTCGAGATTTTTCTATTTTAACTTTGCTGCGGTGGAATTAATTTGATAGTAGAGATGTAGAACTGCTATAGAATTGTTAATATTCAATAAAAATAAAAGATACTCTACAAGTCTTGTATATTCTAAGGACATTTCGGATGTAGGCTGATTATAACCCAGATCCTCAAAATTTCAATTACATTGGATGTCGCGTTCCGAAGTTATCACCTGGGTAAAACTTCGTGGGACACCCTGTATATCTTGATAATTTGTTCTTTTATACATGAAAATCAATTTTTGAGTGTTCTATATTCTAAAGATATTTTGGTTTTTGGCTGTTTATAACTCAGATCCTCAAAATTTCAATTACATTGGATGACGCGTTCTGAAGTTATCACCTGGGTAACATGTCGTGGAACCCCCCACTGTATATCTTGAAAATTTGTTCCTGTATACATGATAATCAATTTTTGAGTTTTCTATATTCTAAGGACATTTTGGATGTAGGCTGATTATAACCCAGATCTTCAAAATTTCAATTACATTGGATGACGCGTTCCGAAGTTATCACCTGGGTAAAATGTCGTGGGACATCCTGTAAATCTTGAAAATTTGTTCCTTTATACATAAAAATCAATTTTTGAGTCTTCAATATTTTAGGACATTCTGGATGTAGGTTGATTACTTATAACCCAGATCCTCAAAATTTCAATTACATTGGATGACGCGTTCCGAAGTTATCACTTGGGTAAAACGTCGTGAGACACCCTGTATATCTTGAAAATTTCTCCCTTCATACATGAAAATCAATCTTTGATTCTTCTATATTCTTAGGACATTTCGGATGGATGTAGGCTAATTATAACCCAGATCCTCAAAGTTTCAATAATTACATTGGATGACGCGTTCCGAAGTTATCACTTGGGTGAAACGTCGTGGGACACCCTGTATATCTTGAAAATTTGTTCCTTTATACATGAAAATCAATTTTTGAATCTTCTATATTCTAAGGAATTTTGGATGTAGTGTAGGCTGATTATAACCCAGATCCTCAAAATTTCAATTACATAGGATGATGCGCTCCGAAGTAATCACCTGGGGTAAAATGTCATGGGACACCCTGTATATCTTGAAAATCAATTTTTGAATGAAATTTTCACCCACTATTGATAAAAATCGTTCAGAAAACTCTCCTTTATATCCAGAAGAATACAAAATACCCTCATTTATCTCTACGTAGGTATTTGAATCTTCAATCAGTGTGGACTTATCCTGATCAGCTCTAAAACATGGAGAAAATTAGAGAGAAAAAGGAAATGTTTCTTTGGGCATTATTGGAAAAACTCTCCAATGTACTGGAAAATTAAAAAATACTTCAAGTTTTTTGAGTCTTTAGAGCGTTTCACATAACGTCGTCAACTTTTACAAAAAGAATAGCTACAATACAAAAAGCCAAAGAAAAACATCAGACATCAAACTAGCAGATCAGAGAAGAAAAATTGGATCCATAACAAAGCAAAAGTAGAATATTTCTCTTCATAAAACAGCAAATGGAATTATTAGTATCTACCGAGAAATTATTCGAAAACAACAATATAAAAATTTAATTCAATTTGAAGGCAATCACTTGAAAATCCCATTTAAAACAAATAATAGAAAAATACAATATGCATAAAGATGTTTGACTCGATTTCCTTATCTTAATTTTCCAATCTATTTAAATAGGATTTGTGTGATCTGTACCTAATTTATGTTTATTACAGGGTGGCTTTTGTTGTATTATCTCCAAAAATGCAAATTTTTACTAAGTATTTGACCCTTTTATCCAAATTAAGTACCTAATTACATTTGCAGAAAGTTTAAGGTCAGTTGCCTTTTAAACTTCCACTGGTAAAGGTTCCAATATTAGTCAAAATGATTCAAGAAGAAATTGAAGAACCATTGATTTATCCAAAGAAAGAGTTAAATTTATTTGTTCCTGGGTATGTTATACATAGATATTAATCAAATTGTTATAATAATTTTTATTAGGTCAATCAATGCCAGGCTATCAATAGACTTGAAATCAAAGTCAAGTGATTCTGGCACACGATAAATTTCATTGCCAATTAACTCTGGCACATGGTGGCAGAATATTACCACTCAAGAATATATATAATAATTGAAAATAGTATAATAAAGTTCAGTTTTGACTTTTGATATATTTACTTGCATAAAATATGTATTTTCAATGTAAGGTATATTTAATTTTTTTCTAATTGTTTCTTATGTATGTATATAAATATTCGTTCCAATAGCCGATACGAGCGAAAAGATTTTCCAAACAATAAACTCGAATTACTAAACTAAAACAAGTTTTCCCATAAATGTATATGGCCTCTAAAATAACTAAATTTCCTCTATTGTCTTATTTTAACACAAAATAAATTATTCTGCTTTGTTAATATGATATGGTCAGCTGTTGACATATTTTGTAATTACTTCCACATTACTAATTAGTGTTTTATTTTTACTTTTCTAGGACATCTAACAGTGTAATGCCGCCAGTGCCGCCAGCCAAACCCGATTTGCCTCAACCAAAATATGTGGATTCGCTATGGTGCATCTACGCTGTGTCAGTGGTAGCAGCATGGAACGCAGAATTTTGTAAGTCAATCAAACAAATTTGATTTTATCCAAAAATCTTCAAATATTATTGATTTCTAGTAACGTATCCATTGGACTTGATCAAAACCAGACTCCAAATCCAGGGCGAGCTGAACAAGAATGGCGGCAAAGTTGCTTATCGAGGAATGTTGGGCACGGCGGCGGGAATAACGCGGGAAGAGGGCGTTCACCGGTTATGGCAGGGGATTCACGCGGCTTTTTGCCGTCATCTCATCTACTCCGGTACCAGGATTATGACGTATAAGGCTCTCAAAGAAAAATTGTTTAAACAAACTGCCAACGAAGAGTACTTTCCTTTGTGGAAATCTGCCATATGTAAGTTTAGTGTCTTTTCTTGAATTTTATCATCTTCAACTGACAAATTTATCAGGTGGAGTTAGTGCTGGCGCTTTAGCCCAATACATAGCTAGTCCTACAGATCTAGTCAAAGTCCAACTACAAATGGAAGGCAAGAGGCGCCTAATGGGCCTTCCACCTAGAGTAAACGGAATTTTTGACGCTTTCCAAAAAGTTTGGGCCTCGGGCGGAGTCAGAGGTCTCTGGAAAGGTTCAGTACCCAACGTGCAAAGAGCGGCTCTAGTTAACTTAGGCGATCTCACTACGTACGATTTTCTTAAAAGATTTATTTTGAGACACACGGAGCTTCCTGATAATCATTTGGTGCATGTAATGGCTTCTTGTGGTGCTGGGTTTGTTGCTGCCGCAATGGGAACCCCAGCTGATGTTATTAAGACTAGGGTTATGAATCAACCTTTAGATGATCGGGGAAGGTAAGAACTTTTAATCTGTCTGATACTTTTTTCTAATGTTTGAATTTTGCAGAGGATTAATATACACATCATCAATCGATTGCCTAAGAAAAACCGTTCATTCTGAAGGTTTGGGTGCTCTCTATAAAGGTTTCATACCAATCTGGATGCGAATGGCTCCGTGGTCGCTCAGCTTTTGGTTGACCTACGAAGAAATCCTGTCGGCAATGGGCGGTAGGGCTTGGTAACTCCATATAGTTATTTATTTTTTACATTTTAGGGTCTAATTTAGTTGACAAAGGCAAAACAATTTAGGTAGATTTAATATGAGACTGCCTAACTATAAAATTTCATTCAGTAATTTGTAGTCAAATGTATTTCAGATTTCATTTTCTCAGAAAAAGGTTGAAATTTTAGAGGCTTTCTATAGTAGCTATTGATAAGGAAAACTTGAACATATCCATAGTATCTTTTTTTATGTTTTGAACTGTAACTTTTGGATGGCACCAGATGATATTCATTTCATAACAAATAATAATTTTGCACTAGTGATCAAATCAAGACATTTTGTATTAAATAACTGCGGACAAATTCTTTGATATTATTGAACTAAACATCTACAGTTACACTGTGACTTTTCACTATAAAACTAGGGCCCGGTTTATTCAACTTCAGATAAACTTGCTGATAACATAACTGGCCAACCAATGGGATTACAGATTGCGTTTTTATCCGTCAGATTGCATACCTGACAGTTTATTAGAGGGTAAATAAACCTAAATAAATTTATTATGATCATAGACTGAGATACATTTTGATGAATACATACATAAATTACTTGGGATTTAATTTAAAATTGCAATAATTTTTTAGGCAGAATAAGAACAGGGTAGAAAATTTTTGTCATTGCGCACAATTTATTTCAATCTTATAGTGCCACATTATAGGGTGTCCGAAATAACTTGAAGTACATAGGGAGATTTTCAAAACCAATGAAGATACAGAGTGGATCAAATGGGAAAAAAGTTGCGCATTCAAGGGCCTACAAATAATCATCTGTCATCAAAAGTGCGTTTGTTCATGTGTATATGTATATGCCCTGTATATACGTTGCTATTCCTAGTTCAAAGAAGTTTTGTCCCATTTGATACATTCTGTATCTGCGATGGTTTCCAAAATCCCCATGTATTTAAAGTTATTCCAGACATCTCTGTATAGTTGATTATTTTGTAACTGATATACCTTTTTGTAGGATATATATTTTTATATAATGCAAAATTTTATGTAATATTATACATTGATTTTTAAATTTATATAATTTTTTTGGGTTTTTACTTTATATAATTAGACATTTTTAGCATATAAAAATCGAATAATTTAATTTTGTATATTATTTAAGTTATAAATTGGTTGTACATATAATATTGATTGTTGATTGTTTTTTTTTTTTGTTAATATTAAAAAAGTGTAACATTATTGTCATTTTTATTTTATTTCAGCCCCAAAAACAAAAATTATTATTATGCGATGTGTGCAAACGTGTACAAGGTGGTCCAATTTGGAAACGTCAATTTTTGAGCGAAATAAAGAGGGAGGGGCTCCATTTTTTGGTATCTCGATCAGAAATTGACATTTCCTGTGTCCAAATTGGACCACTCTGTACAACAGAAATAGCTAAGATTAATTTGTAATTCCTCCAATTTGTTCCAACCTTATTGAATTTGCAAATAAAGTAGATTTATTGGTAGGATAAATTTATACAAAAATCTACACTTTTGTTAATTTATTTTCTTATTTAATGCCCTCCATTACAATTAAAACTCATTTACTAACATATTGTTATTATCTTAATTACACTTTTTTAAAAGGTTTACCACCTTTTTACCCATTATTGTTGTTTAAAAGCAATACAATCCTGTTACTAGGAAAACTATGTTTGTTTTAACACGTACAAAGCATATTATCTAAAGATTAAATCATGGCATTGTAAAATGTTTGATTGTGAATATTTTCACCAAGTGCGCATAATATTGAATTTTCTACCAACAAGTAAGTAAAGGGATTTTCAGAAAAAAAATCACATAACGAGCAAATATTTGATATACCAAAAAATTTACGATACAAAAGAGATTATAATTATCTTGACGATGTAAACCGAAAATCCGGGTAACAAGGCAAACATCTATAGCTAGAAATAAAAGAAAGAATTCGAACCAGTTCGAACACCTCTCTATCCCTTTTCAGCTCAATATAAATAGGAATTTTTTTAAATTCAAATAGTAAGTGAGTATGTTTGAGCAAAACATTTTCAAGCAATAATCTTGTTTTTAGTGAACTCAAATGAAAAAGTCCTAGATCCTGACGAACCTCCATCGTTGGGTTCCAAAATCAAAAAAACCCTACTGAAAAGGTTCCACATTTTTCAATGGCTGCCCAGTTACACAAGAGGCGACATTATTGCCGATCTTATTGCCGGATTAACGGTGGGACTTACAATGATACCACAATCGGTGGCTTATGCTGGTTTAGCTGGATTAAAACCACAATATGGTACTTATAAGTAATATTGTAACATTTAAGACTATTTGTTTTTTTTTAGGTCTTTATACAGCATTTATAGGTTCGTTTACTTACATAGTCGTTGGTACAGTCAAAGAAGTCTCTATTGGTCCTACAAGTCTTATGGCATTGCTTACGTTTTCGTATACAAAGGGGCAACCGATAGAGTGCGTTATATTGTTGACGTTTTTAGCTGGATGCATTGAATTAGCTATGGGACTTTTTAAATTAGGTAGAATAATTGTTGTCACATATTCAGCAGATCCACTACTAACTATATAGGAACTGACTGCAACTTACAAATTACGCGTTTGAATAATCCTTTTTGAATTTCATCAAGATAATACATGCAGACCGGACCAATCTACTAGACACATAGAGAGAATTCAGACGAGTTAACTTATACCCAGTCTAGGCGAATCGCCGAAGATGCACAAATTTGGATAACTTGCAGGTATGATCAATGATCCAATGGAATGGGTATCAGTCAACTGGTCCAATTGAAGCCTATGTGTCTAATAACCTGGTCCAATCTGTATGTGTAGTTTTTCAGAAAAAAAAAAAAGATTATTTTTAGGATTCCTCGTTGATTTTATATCGCCATGCTTGACCAGCGGATTCACTTCGGCATCTTCAATAATCATAATAGTGTCGCAACTGAAAAGTTTTCTGGGCATCAGCGTACAAAACCACTCCACGTTTCCAGCAATCCAAGAGATTGTAAGCAAAGTTGGTGATATAAAATTTGCCGATACTTTCTTGGGTGTTTGTTGCGTCATATTTCTATTGTCCTTTAAGGTAAGAATTAATTGCATTACATTAATAAACACAAAAGTTGGACTTATTTTTTAGCTACTAACAAAAATCAAAGTGCAATCTCTAACAGCCAAAAAAACCCTGTGGCTGTTGTCGATTTCGAAAAACGCCTTGGTAGTATCAATTATGACATTGATGGCTTTTATCTGGTTCAAATCACAAGGAGCTACGCCATTTAAACTTACAGGTGTGCCAATAACTCGAGTAGGTGGTTGGTGGTTTACGGGGGTTTTGACTCAAAACAGAGATGAGACGAGACATTCCTCCTACCACTTAACATACAACCATCCCCCTACCGCGCTCTGTATCCCCCTACCGGGTCACTCAAAATATCTACTATACTAGGATTTTCACGCTATATTTAGGATGACGTCACATTTAGTAAATTTCTGCTGCAAATTTAACAAAACTAAAAGTACTTATTGATGCCTAAATAGGGGAATTTAAGATGTTTCTGGTTGGCAACGGCGAGCGATGTTGCATGTTTTAAATGATCATGCGTGCCGATTCATTTCATTATTTTTAGCTGTCAGTGGTCTTGATAATTCATTATGAGATTCTGGTAAATTATAAGAAAACAAATAGGCATTGACCACATTGTCAGTCCTTGTTCTCTGACGTCATCCTAAATATAACGTAAAAAACCTATACACACAACCATTCCTTTACCCCAGCCCAGTTTCCTCCTGTCGCGTTCTCAAAAAAAAATACATCAAGTATCCCTTCACCGCAATTTTCCTGTGATTATCCCCTCAATTTCGATCTCAAGAAATCCTCCTTCCAAGTCAGTTAAACCAGCAAAATTCAGAACAAAACAAGTGAAAACCAGCATAAAACCAGCAAAATGAGCACAAAACCAGTGAAAACCAGCACAAAATCAGCAAAATCCAGAACAAAACCAGAAAAATTCAGCACAAAACCAGCAAAATTCAGCACAAAACCAGCATAAAACATAGGGGGATTTGTGTCTAGTATCTTGAGAGCTAGGGAGATAGAGGGCGCGATAAGGAGATATAGGGCGCGGCTAGGGGTGGTGGTTGTATGTGTAGTATCTCGTCTCTGTTTTGAGCCAAAACCCCCGTAAACTACCTACTAGCTCGTTAATTTAGCTGAGTCAATCTGGGGGGTCAGGGTGCAACAAATTAGCAACAAGCTGATTCCAGCGGGAATGTTTAGTAAGTGACCTCTTGTTTAACCTCCCAAAAGTCCCATTCAGTCCTAGAGGTGGGAGGTTGAAAAAAATGGCCGCCATCTTGGATTTTGTTGTTTTTTTCAAATATCTCAGTTTGTATTAGTTTTTTTACGAAAACTCAAGAAACCTTTTTTGTGGAGAATTTAACTCTCTATAAAAAGTGTTTATACCTTTTTTTTTGAACATAAAGGATAACGGAGATACAGAGCTTTTTATGGTAAATATTTCAAACATTTCATTACTTTTATCCCTTTCGAAATGTTTAGAAGAAGTCTAAGGTTAAATAGAGAACGAAAACGATTTCTCCTATTCCACCTCCAGCAAAAAACGCTGGGAATGCTAGAAGTGGAACAGAGGAAATCGTTTTCGTTCTCTATTCAACTTTAGACTTTCTTTAGACATTTCATCCTATCGCATTAAAATTGATACCTACAGGGGCGCCCGCAGAAAAATATGTAGGGGGGTCAAAATCAATTGAATAAATTTTTTATGCGTAAAAAAGGGCACTTAAGTCTAAATTATCATTTTAGAAGCAGAATCAGAATTTTAAATGCAACATTTGCAAAGCAAAAGTTAAAAAAAAGGCAGTTTGAAGAGACACAAACTAACACACTTGGACGAGAAAAATTTTAAATGTAACATATGCAATGCAAAATTTAGAGAAAAATTTATATTAGGAAAATTATTTAAACAAAAAGGTAATTTGAGAAGTCACATATCAACAGACTTCGATAGTTATCTTTTTGAATGTGACATTTGCAAAGCAAAATTCAAAGGTAAAGACTGTTTAAAGAGACACAAACTAACATAGTCTGATATTTATCCTTTTAAATGTGACACATGCAATGCAAAATTTGAACACAAACGTAGCCACATATTAACACACTCGGATGAGGAATTTCAAATGTAACATTTGCAATGCAAAATTTAAAAGACAAGGCGATTTGAAGGAACACATATTGATACACTTGGATATTTAATTTTTTTGAATGGGACATTTGCAAATCAAAATTTAAGCGGAAACGCGATTCGAAGATACACAAACTAACACATTGGGTTATTTATCCATTTGAATGTGACACTTGCAAGGCAAAATTTGAAGAAAAGTAATTTACAAAGGCACATTTCAACACACTCGGATATTTATCCTTTTGAATGTTACACTTCAAATTCAAATTCATTTATTCCAGGTGTATAGTACCTACAGTAAATTACATAGTATTTTTACCCTGCAAGAGACAAGAAGTCTGTGCACAGGCCCGGTACTTAAAACTAAAGATCCTTGCAAATCAAAATTTAAATGGAAAGTCGATTTAAAGATTCACAAACTAACACATTCGGATATTTATCCATTTGAATGTGACACTTGCAATGCAAAATTTAAGCAACAACATAATTTGAAAAGCCCCATGTTAACACACAGATTGTTTATTATTTAAATTCACTTAATAGTGACATGTGTTTAGCTCCGGGATCCTTGAACTCAGCCACAAAATTCACCAGTTCCGGAATAAGGAAAGGGTGACAATTTATCAATATGCAAATCGGTACACTGAGATATAGATATTAAATCAACTTATTTACTTCTTATAAATAGCTAAAATCCCAGGCATGGTAGAGGAAGATCTAAAACTTAGGCTTAAGCATTGAATATAAAAAAAAATAGTCAGAAATCGGTAAATCGTTACATAATTGTTTTGGAATGATGTTTTTGGAGAATTAAGAAGTTAGCGATTTATTTGTTTTCGAGTTGTTAGCTATTCAGCCGAATCACGAAGTTCTAGTTAAATTTTCAGATTATCTCATCGACACATATGGCACATGCCTGGATAGACCTAGATAAGACAACAAATGCCTGTGAATCTTTCCATAGTCATTTTGGTAGATCTTTTTATTTTGCGCATCAAAATACATATTTCCACTTTTTTAGATTTATTAACTCATATGCAAGGCGAAATCTGTCAACATCATAAGGTAAGTTTTATGGGAAGTAGGTTGGGTTTCATGATTTGGTCGAATTCAAAGGTAGGATTACTGCAGCTACCTGGTTTGTGGCCGAATTCAAGTATGCCCGTTTTGCTCATACGAGCATCATCGGACCTACAATATAATATATATAGAAAATAATTAGAATTTAAGAAATTTCCAGGGGGGGTCGAGTGACCCCCCCTGACCCTCCCTGTGGGCGCCCGGGCAAGATGTATACTTGCCAGGCGTGTATAGGACTTGGACATGGAATGCAACAAGTTCCTTATTAGAATCCAGAATGGCTTTGCAGGTGCCTTCCAGCCCATTTCATTTTCAATACCATCCATAGTGAGCTGGCCGCCATTGACAGGCACACAATTCTGATTGGATAGTACAACTCTTTGGTTGGTTTTGAGCTTTCTCTTCTCTCAGCGTTCTTCCATTATGAGAACTCGGATCTCAGAGCTCCTTACTCCAGAGCAATTTCTGCATAAAATCTTGTGACATGGTTAGTCAAAAAGCTAATTTTTGTCCTCCTTTTGGAAGCAGGCCTTATCACGGATAGATTCATATCAGGATTGATTATGGTAGGAATAAAATTTAATACAGAATGTTTATTTGGCTTAGGCCCGGTTTATTCATCTTCAGATAAACTTGCTGGTAACTATCTGCAAGATAAATTTATTGTTCTATTATTCTATTGGTTGGCGGATAACTGGCCGACCAATGAGATTGCAAATTTTTGTGCTATACAATTTATCTTTTTTTTCTATTTGTATTTGAGTCCCAATAATTAAACTGGATTTGTTGGCTCACCATGAATGAAGTCCAGAACAATTTTTTCAAGGTTGAAAAGAACACAATTTCACAAACAAAATGACTCCACACACGATCAATATGACCAATAGAGACCTATAAAACCTTGCAATTTATACGGAGCGAATATACTACTTACTTTGGTGGATCGCTTTTTTGGATCTTCAACAAAAGTGAAAAATTTATAAATCAAATTCTAAAAAAAACTATCTCTCCGTTATCCTTCATGTTATAAAAAAAAAACGTACAGACACTTTTTATAGAAAATTAAATTCTCCACAAAAAAGGTTTCTTGAGTTTTCTCGAAAAAACTAATAACTGAGATATTTGAAAAAAAAACAAAAAAATCCAAGATGGCGGCAATTTTTTTCTACCTTCCACCCCTAGGACTGAATGGGACTTTTGGGAGGTTAAATAGGAAGTCGGTTACTAAACATTTCCGCTGAAATCAGCTTGTTGCTAATTTGTTGCACCCCCACCTATGTTAATGCAACTACGTTTATCCTACTAATTACAATTATAATGATTTTAGGTCCAGTGCCAAGCGGTCTACCAGATTTCGGACCCCCATCGATAAGCGTTCAATTCAACAATGCTACAATGACTGTAACAGATATGATTATGTCTATTGGCTCTGGAATTATTGTAGTACCTCTTGTAGCTGTTCTAGCTAATGTAGCTATAGCAAAAGCTTACAGTAAAAAACTTATCCATACTAAAATGATCCATTAAATTTGGTATTTTAGGTTCTGAAACTGTCGTAGACGCTTCACAGGAGATGATCTCTTTGGGCTTGTGCAATATTTTTGGATCGTTCGTCAAGGCCATGCCCAGTTGTGGAGCTTTTACAAGATCTTCAGTTGCTAGTAGTAGTAATGTGCGGACGCCACTTCAAGGAATTTATTCAGGTGAGGTGAAACTTGATTGGAAGTTCCCCATTAGTTCTCAATATTTTGTTTAATTCTAGGCACTGTCATTATTCTGGCTCTAAGCTTCTTGGCTCCGTACTTTTTCTATATTCCGAAAGCTACACTAGCGGCAGTTTTAATTGTTGCCGCTTATGGTTTGGTGGATTATGAAATTTTTGGAACGCTATGGAAATGTAACAGTAAGTATTGAATAGGAAATAGAAAAGATTTGAAATGCAATTTATCTTAAAAGAATTTATCTTTCCTTGTCATGGTGAAGTAAAAGAAAACCTCTAGAATACCAGGCTTTATTAAACCTTGCATTTCTCTTTATTAAACAACTTCTGAAAATCGTTTAAGATTTGTATCATGATGCTCTTTATTTTTACTACAGATGGTTACATCATCAAGAAATACATGTTCTTGTTTGATAATGTTATTCATATTTCTCTGAAAACAAGCAACGCCATTAGTCACTCCAAAAGGAATTCGAGTGAAATGGTATAGATTTCCACATGCTTCAAATGCAGTGTATATACGTTCATAAGTAGTCTATAACCATTTGCTTCTTATGATTTTCATTACTGGTCACTAGCACCTGCGCTCTCCACGGGGAATTGTTTGGCTAGAATATTTTCTCTTCTAAAAGTCTTTGCACTTCAACTTCAATGAATTTTAAATCAACCGCATGAAGAGGAAACTTCAATATTTATAAATCCTGAAGGTTTCAAGTCACTGTGATCATAGAAGTATCTATACTTCAACAAAAAAAAAATCCTAATCATTTATGTCTGTGTGTAGTGTGAAAAAAATATTACTTATGGCTCACAATTTCCAAATTGTTTCCAGAAATCGACTTTTTCATGACCCTAATGACGTTCGTTTTCGGCATAGTATTCAGTGTAGAACTGAGCATAGTCATAGGAGCCATATTCAACGTCTTAGTATTACTGAAATCCTGGTCCAGGCCCAGGATTATAATAGAAACACAATTGACTGAAGAAAATTTGAAATATCTGTACATCAAACCTGAATTGGGTTTGTTTTATCCTGCGGCCGATTACATTACTGAGTGTATTAAAAAGGCCCACAAGAAAAATCCTTTGTTGCCAATTGCAGTGGATTGTATGAATATTTTGCAAGTTGATTATTCAGCTACAAAGGTAATTATTATTATTTATTTTTTGTTGTTATTGCTTTATTGAACTATTTTTTAGAGTATTGAACTTTTGGTTAAAACCTACAACAAAAAATCTACAGGAATTGTATTCCTCAACGTCCACAATCGGGTACTTAAAGCTTTAGGTACAATTTTGGACCAAAACGTTTTGATTTTGTGCCAAAGCGAAATTACTTCAAAAACTTTTTCCATAAGAGATGTGGAAGATGTCGAAGAAGCTCCTTTAATCAGAGACGAAAGAAGGTTTTCCGTTAGGAAAGAAGATATCAGGAAAGGATCTCTTTGTAGTATAGAATAATTAAATTATTGATTTTTTAAGAATTATCTTTGTGTTTTGTTTTTGCTTCGCCATGAGGGTCACAGTTATAGACAATGACGATTAATAATTGTGTTTATAGGAATAAGGCATTTTTGCATAAAATATTCTGAGAATATTCTAGAAATCTGCTGCAAAAGTTTAGGAATTCCCTTGAACATTCTCTAAACTAAATACTAATAATAATTTCAAACAGCCTTGATCAAAAAATTAATTAGTTATCCAAGTGACTGTGAAACCATCAACACACCAGGTGCCGGGTGGAGATATGGTCAATGGTGGCGCATGCAGGAATACCCTCATATTATGGTACTTATAATTATACCAAGTTCAACCGACCGTTGAACCATGAACCAAAAGATAGATACGGCACGTGGTATAAAGTTTGTCTTAGAAATTTATTTAATAAAATATAGTCATTTTTAACAACTTTAAAATCATTCAAATTGGCCTTAAAATGGAGGTATAAGATTGTTTTGATTACTGACTCAATATTTAAGTAGGTACTATACCAGATGGTTTAAAAAGATTTGTAGCTAAACTTTTTTAATAAAGGACTATGCATCTTTGGAATTATGTACCAGAGTCTAGATTATATTTTTTCAACTTCTAGGGGTCAGTATAAAGACCAAAATCTCAACATAAAAAACTATTTATTGATCAAAATTTAGTAGGAAAACTGAAAAATCCAACTTTGCTTTTACTGGAAAATCGTCCAGGCATGAAGAGGAAGCAGCTTGCACGTGCTGTTTGGGGGTTCGCTACTTTTACTGAGGGTTGATCGGCATTAAAAAATATATTCATGTGTCTCGAAGGGGGGTGCAAAAGCAGGTGCTATAATATAGTTTTTTTACAAAAACTTATATTCTGAATTTATAAATCCTAGAGATACATGTGAAATTTATTTAGAGGTATTGGGGTATAATCCTGGTGAAATTGGGTAGAGAAAATAATCATTTTTCGCATTAGTAATACAAAATTCGATGTATAATGTTTTTAGTGTAGAAAGTTCATCAATCACTTATCGGGTTTGATAACAACAATTCTCCTGTTGAAACTGACTTACTGCCTTCACACAAAGCGCTTTATATACAAAATCAATCGGCTCCAGAAATCTTGAGAATTTATGAAAGTTCTTGTTTATTCTATGCACACAATGGAATATTTTCGAACCTTTTCCTCAATAACCTCTTTCCATTCCTCAATGTGTAATTTTTTCCGTTTCAATTTTTGTCTATCATTGGCTATTGAATTCCTGTTTTTTCAAATTTCTCTAAATAACAAGGATTGAAGAGCTCGGAATAGAGAAATTATTCATATTTGTATATACATTTCAACCGCTTGCGTCTCAATTTGTATCTATTCCCGGCTCTTGAATTTTTCTTTTCTTCAAATTTCTCTAAATAATGAGCCAGGAATAGACAAAATAGGTAAATTCAGATATAAAATCAACTTCCAAAGACTTTGTTCAAAACTTTCATGTGCCAACTTTCTAATATCAGACTAAACTCTATTTCTCAAGCAACTAATTTACTTGCAGTTTATTAGAGATTTTGAAGTTGTTCCATTTGATTGTTGTCTTATTTGATTTATGTAATTTATACCCCTTTGTTCCATTTAAAAAAAATTGATAAAATATTAAAAGAACTAGAAAAAAATCAGAAAAACAAAAATATATCATATGCAGATGTAGTACAAAAACGAACAATCAAGTAAGAAACTATTCTCCATTAATAATAAGACCAAAAGTAAACCAACCATTCGAAAAAACCAAAAATTTTCTTCAAAAAGAAATTAACCCAAGCTTGGTTAATGTATCAGTAACAAAAATAAAAGAAATCAAAAATGGGGGAATCATTATAAAAACAAAATCTGAGGAAGAAACAATGAAACTTAAAAAAATAACTGAAGAAAAATTAAGTAACAACTTTACATGTCAAATACCTCAATTAAAGAACCCCAAATTAGTAATGTTGGGATGTACAGTGAAATATAATGGAGATGAATTAAAAAAGACTTTGGAACAACTTCAACTATTAGATTTAAATGACAAATTCGAAGTGAAATATGTAAGAAAATCCAAGTATTCGAACAAATGCATTTATAACATTGAAACTGATGGAAAAACGTTTTTTAAATTGAACAATAAAACAATATTATTAAACTGGAACCATTGCTATTTCAAAGAAGACCTAAATATAATGCAATGCTACAAATGTTGCGGGTATGGACATAAATCCTATAGTTGTTTAAAAGATAAGGCATGTCAAAGGACATCGCACACATCTTATGGGTTTTCGGGGACCAGTCGGTTTTCTCAAAAATTTGGTATGTTGTAGTACTAGCAAAAATAAGCATTTTTCATCATTGCACCAAATCTCTAACTATACAGGCTGACCCAGTAAAGTGGGTCCGAAAATCATAAAACAACCCTTTATTTATCGATGTTGGCGCGTACTGCAAGCTACATATCGGAATTTTTGTTTTCGACTTCGCAAATAAATTGTCTAGATAAGCCTAATATACTATACAGGGTGGCTAGGCTTGCGTATTCTTTTAAAAATCCTGCCCTATTTCTTAGAAATAGTGTTACCAAAAAGATCGCACTAGATTCTATATCTCCGTATAACTTTTTTAATTTTTGTCCGATTTAAAAATATGTGGTTTTAAAATAAGGCCTATATTATCACAAGGATGTCATGAAATCTAAAAAAATTACAAATGTGACAAAATTCGAGATGGCGGAAAGCGATTAAAGTATAATTTTATATTCAATCGTGGATTCTTATGTAGGTATATTAAACCCAGTTTGAAATTGAAAACAAGACCCAAAAGGGTAATGTTGAAAGTAATTCTAATCACAATTCATCAGTTGACACAATTCCTAAAAATCGGTGTGATATGAGATACTCACACATATTTAGCGTGTGTAAAATAATAACCTGACTCTTTTTTCTGACGTTGTGATATACAGGGTGTTCTATTAAAAATAGTTGAGAATTTCGATGTTGAAATAGTATATTCTATAATAAGTGTGGAATAAGCAAAATTCTACAGGAGTGGTTTGTTCCCCGGGCCGAAGGCGAGGAGAACGGCTACACGAGTGAAGAATTTTGAATTCCACACGTGTTATAGAAGGTTTGTTCCAACACAGCAGAAAACCGTACAATGCACCGTTATGATTCTGCGCAAAACCTAAAATTTGTGCGCAGAAACCCAAATTCGTATACTGAGTGGTTTCAAAACCGTTCATGAGACGATTTTTTGACGTGTTGGAACAGACCTTATCTATACTTTTTCTACGACTAGAATCAAATGAAATAACTAACAACAAACCACAGACACAGATTAGGAACGCCTAGGGTGATACCGAACGCACTCCAAAATTTGATCTTTTAAAGATACGTTAAGTATCAACATTGTCAAATAGCGTTTTCTATTTTCCATCCTCTTTTCACCAAAAAGGCCGCAAAGGACAATTGTGCTGCACTTCTTGCTCTAGCAATTAATATAAAACGTCGACTTTAGTGATTTACTTGTATTTTATAGTATTTTTGAGGTTTTCCAAGTATTTCTGCAGTTTGCGTAGTGCAGCTGGTGTAGAAATAGATAAACTTCCTGTACTCTCCTGTGTTTTCAGCTTATGATATTAAATAGCGCCACAGGTGTTCATTCCATAACAAGTGATGGAATAAATATTTCTGCACTAGTGAGGGAATGAAGCTATTCCGTAATCAAAAACTAAGTCGGAATGGATGAATTCTCCAATAGTCGTAGAGAAAAGTTTTTTTTTTTTACTGGCTCTGAATAAGTACATATTCGAAAAAGTTTGCAACCAACTAAAAAAAACTTTAGGCCAAGAGAAGGCGAATGGCGCAAACCGCAGGTAGCTAGCACACCTGGTTTAACAGTTATCAGCATGAAAAATGGGTCACTTTCGGGTGGGACACCCTGTATAATAATGAATAAGTTGGTGCTAGAACTTTGCGCATGTGCTCCCACATTTCTAGAGTTTTTTGGTACTTGGGCTACGCTCGACATGAAAACGATGTGAAGTACCCATCAAATCCTTAGGTGCATTCAAGACAGTGCAAATGGGCAGTAGGTAATCATGATTTTTGAAGTGAAAATATTATAGTAGAGTATTTAGGTTATATTTTACCCGAGATTTTACCATTTTCCCATTACAACCTGTAGCACTACTTATTAAAAAAGTTACAAGCAAATATAATCCAGTACGACATTTTTGGTAACACTGTTTCTAAGAATGGAGCAGGATTTCTTAAAGAACACGCAAGCTTAGCCACCCTGTATAGTATATTAGGTTTATCTACATATTTATTTGCGAAATCGAAAACAAGAATCCCGATAAGTAGCTTGCAGGGTGCGCTAAAATCGATTATTAAAAGGCTTGTTTCATGATTTTTGAACCCACTTTACTGGGTCACCCTGTATACTTAGAGATTTGGTGCAAGGATGAAAAATGCTTATTTTTGATAGTACTATAACATACCAAATTTTTAAAAAAATCCACCGGTCCCCGAAAACCCATAAGATGTGTGCGATGTCCTTTGTTCAAAAAACCATCAAAATTGGAAATGTAACGAAAAAAATCCAAAATGTATCAACTGCCTAACATATAAGAAAAAAAATAATACAATATCAAATGCTGAACATAAAGCAAACAGTGACATGTGTCCATTACATAAACAAAAAGTCAAGGAAGCCAAAGAAAGAATTATTTATTCCTAAATTATGGGAAACCCTATTAAAATATTATAATATATTAATGCAAGATCACAGAAAAATAAAATGGAAGAAATAGAAATTTTGATTAAAGAAGAAAAAATTGATATAGTAATTATAGCAGAAACATGGGTGAAGAAACCAGAAATTTAATACTACCACTTTAAAAACTTTGAGAGTATTTATGTAACAAGAAAAAAAAGAGGAGGAGGTTTGGGTATATTTATCAAAAATAA